TTCAGAACTAATTTTACAATTTTGTCTTTTTTAGCAAAATTTTTAGAATTTTGTAAGTTGCTTTAAATTTTTCAGAAACATCACATTTTTCGATACAATTTTGGAGAATTCCACTTTGTTTTAAATAATTTTCTTTAGTGAGTAAAAAATTTTAAAATCATAAAAACAAGCAAAATTTACTCATGTCTAAGCCTAATTTTGCACTTTTTTACTTTTTAAACAAGTAACGGCTTTAGAAATAACGAAAATTGTTTTTTTGAAACTTTTATTTCCAATCTGTTCAAACAAAAAAGAGAAGCTTTTAGTAAAAAAACTAAAAATTTTCACATTCGATATCGCTACTTTGCGGGCTCATCTTTATTAAAACTTTTTTCTTTGTTTTACAATCTTTTTTTAAAACCCTGTAAATTTTTAATTTTTTTTAATTTAAGAAACAAACGTTAAAATAACTCTAGTTACAGTAAAAAGAAATCGGTGCTGAATTTTTGTAAATAGGTATTTCGTTTTGTTTATTTTTCATTATAAAATTTCGAAGTAAAGTCCCCCATTTTTTTATTGTGAGGACCGTCAAAATAACATGCAGTGGATATTTATTAATTTTAATTTTTTATGTTGAAACTAGAGTCCCTGGATCCTGTTTTTTTGTGTAAACTACCGCAAAACCGAGCCCACAACAGGAATTATTAAAATCTCCCTAGTTTACGAGCAAAACTCGTCAAAACAAAAACAGATTTATACCGATGATGAAAATAAAAATATTATTACAACTTCCAGTACACTCGTTCGATATATTTTTTCAGCAAAAAACCGCTTTATCACTTTCACGTTGTTTGCTAGAAGCCATCAAATTTTATACACATTCATTCCTCACGCACGGAATTGTTGACACACTAATAAAAAATATGTGAAAACTTTATGAAAAAAGATTGAATATCAACGCGCTCGGTTTAATTTAACCTGAAAAAAAATTACAGGTTTACCGGGTGTATCCCCTAATTTTTATCACTCTACGAAGCTTTATAGCACTGTTTGAAATTTTTCGCAATTTAAAAAAAACACCCTGTATACCGGGTGTCCCAGCGAGTTGAAAAAGTCCATTAGTGACCTTTAAAATAAAGCAACATTTATTCAAAAACTTAGCTCGGAAATGGGTTATTTTTTATGTTTTTGTAAATTCAAAGCGATTTTTACCCAAAGAAATTAATGAAATCAAAATATTTCGTCACAAGAAAACAGAAAATAGCACAATTTTATTAAAAATATGTTATTTTCTTTAAATTTAAGAATTAAAATTGCATAAACAAAGCGAAATAATGCAAAATACGGCTTGGAAATGCTTTATTTTTATTCTTTAGATGTATTTCGAATTTTTTTTATTTATTTTTGACCGGTTTTTTACGCAGAAAGTCACTTATTAATTGAGATTTTGTTAAAACTAAGCAAAAAAAAAGTTGATTATTTCAAAACACTGCTTAGAGATCGTTAATTTTTCAGGTTTATGCAAATTTAGATAGATTTTTACAAAAAAAAATACAAAATGCGGAAGATTTTGTCAAAAGAACGTAGAAAATTCCAAAATTTGATAAAAAATGTGTTTTTTTTCTATAATTTTTTTTCTATAAACAAAGTATAAAATTGCAAAATATGGCTTAAAAATGCGCTATTTTTAATTCTTTTGATGTGTTTTGATTTTTTTTTTATAAATTTTGACCGGTTTTTACGCAGAAACTCACTTATTTTTTGAGATTTTGTTAAAACTAAGTAGAAAAAGAAAAGTTGATTATTTCAAAACTTTGCTTAGAGATCGTTATTTTCCAGCAAATTTGAAAAAAGGCAATTTTCTTATAGTAAAGCAAATAATTAGTTACTATTTAGTCCTTGAAAAGAATATATCATCAAACATTTTCAGTTTTCTTCAGTTTTTCAGCAAAATGATTAATAAAATCTAACAAAAATTATCGAAGAAGCCAAAAGACAGCTCGCAGTTCTAAATGGGACTTTTAATTAATTTTATTTTTGACAAACATCTTCAGTTTTCTTCAGCAAAATTGAATAAAAGTCATTTTTTGAAGTAAATAAAATTGAGAAAGTTTAAGAAGGTTCATAGTTTCCAAGATTTTAAAAGAATTTATTAAATAAGTTCTTTGATTTTATTTTTTTTATTTTTATTTTCTTCATAATTTTTCAACACATTTAGCAAAAATCTGAAACATTTGAAAACACCACAAATTATTTTCTTTCGCTTTTTATTCGATTCCTAGTTTAGTTTTTGAGAAGAATATCAAATATCTTCAGTTTTCTTTAGTTTTTCAGAAAAATTAATTAAAACTTAGTTTCTCTGTAGTTAAAAAGACCCGAAAACCGCTCATAGTTTCAAAATTATCAAAAAAAATTATTTAAATTTTTTTATTACAAAACAATTTTCTTTAATTTTTTTTATCAAAATTTGAAGAAAATGGACTGAAAAACTATTGTGTACGAACTATTTAGTATTTATTAGCCAGATTTAATTTATTCCCAAAAAAACTGGAAGTTTACTCAAAAAAATTCTTTAACTCTTGTAAGTCAAACATTTTTTTAATAAAAAAGTATAACGTTTACAAAAAAAAAATTGTACGGCAACAATTCTTGTAACAAGCTCGTTGTCTAAAAAAAATTGTGGTCTGTTTTAATTAAAAAAAAAAAGTTACTATGTTTATCTCGTAAGTATAAACAATTAATTAATAATCAAAATTTGTTTTGAATAGTATTTTTATATCCATTGCACACCTATAAATTTATTTATCAAAAAAATTGATAGTTTCGATGGAATACAATGGTTCCAGACTTTTGGACCACCCTGTATAACTATACCTCTTGATTGACTAGCGAATTCGCACTCCTCAAGACCCCATCGACCAATAGGAACACTTCCTTGACGAAATCCCCCGTGATAATCCTTGCCCTTTTGCAATAGCCAATCACATCCCTTAATAGGCCCAAAATCCCGGTCCCCTCCCCCGGCAATAATCCCTGTTTTTCCCCAAAAAATCTCGAGCAATTCTTGACGATTTGCAACGGCGTCGCTGTTTCGTACCCCAATTGCAACAGCTTCAACTGGAAGCAAATGCGTGATAATTCCGGGCCCGGAGTCCCCCCTCCCGGACTTACGTCCAACCCTATTTTGTATAATTGCTCCGGAGTGCATTGGGAGTAGTCGGGCTGGCGCCAGATGGGACGTAACCCATCGTTTAGAGTGCATGAACGCCGGACGAATCCGGGAAATGCGTAGCCTTTGGGACATTCCTGGAGAGTGTCGGTGTCCGGGGCCGTTTCCGGCCATGTAACGTTCAAGGAATACTCCGGGGGACATGTCCGGACTAGAGAGGGGTCCACGACGTGGATGGCGACGGTGGTCTCGCTCGAAATTGGGCCGTCTTGCACCAAACAAGAGAATTTCACCGATTTCTGGGGACGAATATTTTAAAAAATTGTTAATTTTTTATATTTATGTTTTTGTAGTGAATGTAACTAATTTATCATTAATTGAAACAAATGGTTATTTTTTTCTTGTGTTTTTTTCTTTTTATTATTTTTTACAATAATGAAATATGATTGTATTGTATTTACTTCAATAAAGTTGCTTTATTATTTTTTTTTCAAGTCCCCAAATTTTTTATTTCAATGTTTC